GCTTGAGTTAAGAGTACAGTTTTATCAATGAGGTTTTAAGCTAGGTCAAATACAAACTGCTGCTTTTTTGTAACTTATCAGTTAAATTAGGTAACAAGTAATATATTATTATAATTAAAATAGAGGTTATCAGTATTTAATTTGACAGTAACAATGTTATTGCTAAGCTTTACATTAATAACATAATTAAAAATAAGGTTTGATAGTTAGTAATAAACTCTTTGTTTTCTTTAATGTGTTTTACTACCTGAATAAGTTAAGCATTTAGTTTAATTGAAATCAGTATTTATAATGATAATTATATAGCACATTTTAACATAGCTTTTGTAGAGAATCCCGAGGCAATAACTCATAAAAATTGTCTATAACTTAAATCTTCAATTTAATAAAAATAGGTTATTATATACGGTGAGAAAGTCATCGTAGGAACAATGCAGACTCTAGATAGAGAATAATAAACATCAGTGTCTACAAGTAAAATCTTTTGCTATTATCTGATTTTATTATTCATTAATTAATATAGACTTAATTTTGCTTTTTACTGAAATTGATACTTAAGGCAGAAAACCTGAAACTAACTTACAATGCATAATTAAATTTTATGTCTAAAAAGGTTTGATTGGTGTCCCTTCATAGAATTACTCATAGATTAAATATAAATCTACTAAAAAATAAGAATATTTAGGATGTGTAATTAAAGTACAATTGCCATACTGATGTGATGACTTACTTGAACTTTTGAGTAGTAGAAATGAGCTAGCAGTAAAAATTGTTTTTATTTAGGAGAATTAGGCTACTAGCATCATTTTGATTGATAGATTACCTGGATACTATAATAGTAATGTAAGAATATAGATTACTATATTTTAATTTTGAGGACTTGAAAATTTTAGGTTTTAGAACAGTCTTAAGGTCCATGATTTTATAACTTGTTTGGTCAAAAAAGTTTTAGATAAATTAAAGATATGTTGGTTAAATTGACACATATATTAAATTATATACATCTTAGCATTTAACAGAATAACATTAATTTTATAGTATCCAGATAATGGATTCATAATGGGAGTTATCTTAATTTTCTTTGAAAACAGTAGTGTTTTATCTAGTTTTCTAATGTTGCACATAAATACAGTGAAGCTTTTTAATATAAAATTGTAATCAAATATTATCTACTTAATAAAACACATTCACTGACTGACTGACATCTGAAACCTTCGAGTCTGATAGGGTCAATCTATTTGGGTGACTGGGTGAGAATTGACAAATATTGTTAAATAATTCACCAAATTGCTAACCTGAACTAATCAAGTCTGATAAGTTCAATCTATTTAGGCGAGTGAATGAGAATTGGCGAATATTATCGAATCTTAAACTATCAAGTCTGATGGGTTCAAACCGTTTGGGCGAGTGGGTGAGAATTGGCAAATATTATTAAATAATTCAACAAATTGCTCACCCGAAAATAAACAAAAGTCAATGTTAGAGTTCTAAGTAGATTTTATTAAATAGATTTAGGATGATCAGCTCAACTGCCATGAAGGTAACAGCGAAGCTGTTGTCCGAGTGGCTTAAGCATAGTGCTGGCACAGCCTTTAGCTCAGTGCAGCTTATAAATAAACCCAAGCAACGCTGGGTAACTTCGCTATTAGAAGCGTGTGCTTTCTCTTTACTTTCTTTTCCGTTTAACCAGACTGAGCCTCAGCAATGCGTGGCAGGGTACAGCTAGTAATCTAATATAATCTTCAAGACCAGTATTTTATAATAATATTTTGTAGTAGCAGGAACCACCCCGCTAGGCAAATATATCTTTTTTGTATTAACTCTACTTCATTTAATTCATTGAAATGAAAATAATAATGATATGAGAGGAAATGAGAGGAGAGGAGGAAACAATATCCCATCATACCGAGTATGTGTTTCTACCTGTTGTGGCTTTTAGTACCCCACCTTAAAATATATTTACAGAAGCACGCAACATATTGCAGTTTATTACTGAAAGTATAAGTGTAATAGGGCAATAGTAATGCAAAAATCCTTATTTTTAAGTTTTGTTATATAAAAACAATCTAAAAAAAGCCTGGCTAGCTCAATCGACAGATCGTGAGACTCTTAATCTCAAGGTTGTGTTCGACCCCCGCTTTCGGCTAATTTTTGATGCGACTTTTTTCTGTCCTTGAAAAATCTTTTACAAGGATCTATTTCATATTTATTAATTTTGTATTAAAGAGATTTTTGTATATTTTTATTTTTATCTTAGCAGATAATGGCAATTAAATAAAATTATAGTCATATATATATATATATTTATAAGACATGTCTTAGACATTCTTGTATGGAGCTCCTTGCATACTTTTCATATCATTGATGATTATAATTCTATTCTAGGTAATTTGCAAACCATCACCAAGTATGCAGTGCTTGTGTTTTTCCCTATACCTGAAGATTATATACACAAAAAAATACTGTGATTATAGCATATTTTTACTTAGATTTTATTTTTTCTGAGGTGTAAGGTATACTCCTAATTTACTTTTAGATATAACTATTCATCCATGTTATTAGAAACTATTTACAATTATATGAGGAAATTATATATTATACTTTATAGAGATCAACATCTTTATAAATAGTTTTGATTGTTATTCTTAGTTTATTGTAAAACTATTAGTTTTAACCAACTAAACATGCAAAGAATAACATATCTTAATATATAGATACCACTCATCACCTTAATAAATATATAAGTTATTGTTTTCTCAAAGATTATATATTCATTAATTTTATATTATAAGCATTAATCTATTGATATATCTACAGTAAACTCCAGAGTGTGTGTTTTTTCAAAGTAAGTGTCCTATTTTTTATATAAGTGAATGTAGATAACTATAACCTCTATAGATCAGACTATATTATAGCTTATATAAATATATGAACAAAAGTTAAATTTGTTAATGTATATTATATTGTAATTTAGTTTTATCACTACTATTTACTCAAAAGTATCTCCTAAAACAACTAAGTACATCAACACTAGATATCCAATAGCCTATTAAAGTAGTTCTTACCTTATATTCCTGATAACTATTATATGCAGTAATTTAAATATTTTAAGACAGAAAACAAACAAAGTAAAAAAAGTATAATGCTAAAAAAGATACTTACTATGCAAAATGATTTGAAATAAATGAATGAAGCTGCTATATATCTTTTTTTAGCACTAGTGGTTCCCAACCCAAAAGGGGGAGCTGCGTGCATCTTTTATTTGCAAATGGGACAAAAAAAGGGATTATTAGAAATAAAAATTCCTAATATGGCACCTCAGCTAACAGCCTAGGAAGCTATATCAGAAGGTGAGGAAGCTTTGGGGAAACTTTTGCCCAGTGCCTGCTTTAGCTGGTGGACCATGGTGGAAAACCTTGGGGTAGGAGCATCAGTGACATGAGGCATAAGGAGGTATAATTTGTGGGTTTTCTTCATTGGTGAGGCTGGCAGTGTCCATTGCCTTAATGTATTTAGGACTTTTATGCTCAGTGAAAGTGATGAAAGTAGGCACATAAGTGAATGACTTGATCACTGGTGAGTTTTTAATTGGGGTCAAAAAGAGAATTTTTTGCTGCATCAATGTAAGTGTGGCTCACACCAAAAGCAAGCTCCTCAATTTCATATTTTACATCTTCCTCAAAATTGTGTAAAAAATTAAAGATAGGAATACCCTCAATAAGGGGCTTCATCGCCCCATGAAGTTGCTGGTAAAGTAGGGTGTTGGCAGAGGCAGCTGCGGCCTCAACTGCCATTCTATTGATATTTTTATAAAACTGAAAAAAATGGTTTAAGGACAAAAATGGTGGGGATGCGAATCAGAAGGGTCAACAAAGAACTCCTACAAAGAAAAATCTGGTTTAACATGGTATGGCCATTTGTCCTCATCAATGAAGCTGATATATATCATTGTTGCAAATAGCTTAACATTACTTGAAACTATTATTAATAAAATGAATTGTTTTTTTTCAAATAACTGATTAATATTCTTAAAGATTATATATATTTAGTCCTTAAGAGAACTATTTATCTCTTAGATTACATTTTGTTTATAAGTTGAAAATATCATAGGTTTTATTTTATGCTAATTCAAATCAGTGAAGGACTGTTTAACAAGCTTAGCAAGTCATGTGCCCAGTAAGATAAGATTAGACATTATATTAATGACTTTTTATTATAATTACCTACTGGTTCTTGAAAAGATAATCTTCCTAGCCACTAAAACCAATTTATAGAAACTCTGATCTTATGATGATAGTAACATATTAGAAAATTCAAATAAAGTAAATTATAGAGTTAAGTGTCAAGCAACTGAGAGCCTGTTGACAGTGTCTTTATAATTTATAACACAGTAATTGTGCATTATAAAATATGATATTGGATACTCATCAGAGGCCGCAGATAGTGCCAATGCCAAGAAACTTACTAATAAGCTATGATATATAAGGATACAAATGAACATATCATAAAGACAAATAGGGCTTCTTAGTATCATATATCCAAAGATTTTAGAACCTGTCTAAAGTAGATTATCTTATAATGTGAATCAATATTGTGATTGAATAATATTTGCTTATATCCCTATAGAAGTTAGTGGAATAGTATTTTAATTGAATTTTATGGCTAAAACCTAATTCTCTGTTTAGATAACTTTTCAAAAATTAATATAATGGTGACACTTAGCTCTAAATAGAAATCCTAGTAAACTTATGGTAAAAATATCTTAAACCCCGCAAAGAAACTTACTGCCTCATCCAAGAAAGCCAGTAAACTCAAGAAACACAACATCAGATATTAACACTGTGTTGACTAGATGACCTGCTATCAAGCAGCAGCTGCAAAAGCAGGCATCACCCCTAACCCTGCACCCTATGAAACAGGCGCTAGCTCAACATAATGCCCTTCTGCATCCTATACACCCATCAGCTCACTGCACATTGCAGCCCACCTACATTCAGGCCATCCTCTTACCAAAGAAGATGATTGCCCAATATTTATTGATCAAAAAGGCTAGAAGGATGTAGCACAGCACTTTTAGGCATTTACCTCTAATATTTCTTTAAATTTATCTTTCCCTACTATTAAAGAAATGGAGCCTCTAGCTTCCCCATTAAGGGCGACGCCCAGCTACCAGGCCCCCAAACCTTTGGCCATAAAGTTGAATCAGCCATTAATTTTTTTTAATGAGGACTAAACATGATAAGTCAAACCCTCCTATTGAGGGTTCTCCTGGTTCAAATCTTGGTGCTCTAAACCAACCTCAGTCTTGCCCAGTCAATTATAATTTCAAGAATGGAATTTCCCAAGCTAGTGCATCCATTTAAGTAACTGTTGAGTAATTAACTGGACCTAATCGTCAGATATTTGATTATATAAGATATCAGCGATTATGGTTCAGGTGTATCCCAAGTATATCCAGACTTGGGAATTACAGCCTAGTGATTTCACTTAATAACATTCAACTATGATGACATGGGCTTGAGGGCTTCGTTGGTTAGGTTGGACTTCAATTAAGTTTTGACTTAATAACTTGGGCACGTGGGCTTTGTTGGTCTATGTCAAAACTAGTTTTTTTTTGTCAGTTGAGTTTTTGATCAAATTAATTACTAATTAGTGATACAAATCGCCTTGGTATGTGCTGCCGATTGCATGTGAAAGTGAATCAGTTCAGCTATTTTGAAGACACATATGAAACACCATCTTAAGAATGATGACAGTGTTTACTCCAACCCTGAGGTTGAGCATGATGCCCTGAGTCAAAGTATTTGTAGATGTTCTTACAAACTTTTTATGTGGCCAAGTGCCACTGAAAATGAGATGTCATGGGTAAGATGTGGTGAACATTGAAACCTATAAATAACCCTTAAGTTGACACTAATAAATATTATTCAACTACTGGACTTGTTTATAATTTAATTTATAAACTTTTTGTGTTTAGTACTTTCTTTTATATTAGTCAGTTTTTACTTGGGATCAGTAAGATCAGGGCGGCATGCCATCATCCAAGTAAAAATGACAGGGTATATGAATTAAATACTACCAAAAAGCTATAATTTAAATTATAATCACCATCCTGTCTATTGTCCTCACACAATAGATGCTCAACACTCCATTCCGCATCCAAAGAAGAACCATCCCTATGAAGCAGACCCCAAAAACTTAACAGTAACAAAACTGATCAATTAACCAATCAGCCAGCAAATATTGCCATGGTATGCAAAGCAATACTTGATCCAAGTTTTCACCCATGGAATGGTATAATAACAAATTCACACCCTCCTCCCAATTGACTGGAGCTAACCCCATTTTAAATGGGCCTCCCCAATATTCTGTGGCCCAACACTTGCCCAACGCCAGCAGAACTAGTAGCCACTGGAACACGCCAGCAGAGGGGGAACCCACTGAACTCATATAAGACACCAACCAATGTAACACCTGCAGTTGCTGCTCAAATCAAGAATAAGCAAGCTAAAGAAGCTATTAGTCAGATTGCAAAAACTTAGTGCCTACTCTTATAAACTAGAATCACGTGAAATGGCGTTCATCACTGATATATTAGGATTGTAATCAGATTATGCTTTTCCTAACGAGTTTTAATACTAGCGATTTATCAGGGATGGTCCCCATATGATTTATTAGTGTCAATCCCTTTTAGGCTTCCAAGGGAGCTCTTACTTAGTATTCATTTATCTATGTAAATGACTTTTAGGCTTTTGAGGAAGGAGCTCCAAATTAGCAATTGTGATTAATTTTATTATTAAACTTCCATGGGTTATTAAAATGATCCCAAAATAGTTTTATTTTACCAGACTCAAGGGCATAATTGTCACCACTTGGGAATCAAGCCAATGGAAATTCTGACCAATAGCATGTTAATGTTTCAGGTTGATGAATAATAGTAAAGTCAAACTATGGTGACTGATGCTGATGATTATAATAGATGGGCATTAAATTGCCATGAGTGACCTATATATATGAAAATTTTATCCCAATAGAGTTATTTTGTTCTTGTTTACTAGAATTTTACTGGTAATTGTTTAGTTTATTGTGTTTTAGAAGTACCAACAATATTCATAAGTGAACAAAGGTCAACTTCTTTAACCGTTA